AGTTGCTAGGCGACAGAGCATAGGGCTGATGAAAGCCAGAGAAGGCTGGACCTATTTGAATCCATAGCCAAAACTCTTCTGGTCTCCTTTTTTTCATGGACCTTGAAGGACCCAGTCCAGATAGACCGGGTCGTTAGAGGATGCAGCCTCAGATATCGAACATATCCAGGGTGTGTTCCAATGCTATTTTTCTAAAAGAACACAGGGAGATGCAATACGTTTGCAGTATGGTTCAACAAATGTAAACAGGTTTGACAAAGGCAGGTTCAAAATACAGGGGTGGAGAATCTGAAAAGTGCAATTACTCAGTTATACATCATTGCATGCCTAAGGTTAGACTCAGATCAGCAGAGACAATCCTGCAGGTAAAATCAACCTTTTCTCATTTGTTTAGATCTGATTTAAAGAGAAAGCTTTTTATTGCTGCTTATAATTTGCTGCTTAGAGATCAGACTTGATTTGATATGAATATAGGCTTGGAAAATCCTGATATAATATCTAACCAGATACCTAAAACCTTTATATGTTTAACCTTTATATTACAGTGCATTAGTTGATTAAATTCACTTAAGGTTAGCCCATTAAAAAGCTGTTAAGATACATGGAAATATCAATATATTAGCAAGACGAAAGGTAAAGTATATTTTTGCACTTTTTTAACAAACAATTCCTTAAATACTTGTTACATTTTAGACAGACGCTTTGCAGCTCTTGTTTAATTTTTAAACATGACAAACCTGATTGTTAACTACACAGGAATTTTACCCTCCCTTGAAAAGTTTGCAATTTAGAGAAACACCTGACTAAAGCTGCCACCTGTTTGCATAGTAGTAGGTCTAATGTTGTGATCCATTAATTAATCTCCGAGCTACATACATTTCAGCTTCCCGCTTGTGGACCCTCGGGTTCTCCACTGTTAAAGTAACAACAATGACAATGTTATATGCAGTATTATGCTCATTTACACGGCAATGAAACATATCGTCTTAGAAACACCTATAAGTAGTATCTTACTTACTAATTTAATGTTACGAGCATAACAAAGAACTGCTACAGTCAAAATAGGAAAGTCTAACTACTTTTGATGTAAAAAATAATCAATTTTTAATGCAGAAGCAGCAGATAGTTCCTGTTACACTGACCTTCAGACTTGTAACTCTTACCTTTGGGGGACTTTCAATTGAACTAGGAAGTTTTAAAATTTCTGCATAGAAGGACAAATTGTTGTCATGATGGGTTCAGAAAAGCCCAATATGCAGAACACAACGGAGACAGATGAAAAGTTTAACAATGTTTATTTGAGCACAAGCACATGGAATTAAACACTGGAACTGGTTCAGGCCTGGGGGCAGGTTCACTGGAGTCTGTGAGGATGACAGTTCAGTTAGCTCAGGAACTGAGGAATTTGAGTTTGAGAGTTTCTGAAGTATACCTTGAAGAGTCCGGGTTTAACTTTGAGAGAGGAACCGTTGGGTCCAGAGACTGT